ATTATTGATTGCCAGAACTGAAACGCTGGCTCGGATGTCAACTTTTTATACTGTTTTACCACCCACTCCGGTAAAAAGCCTTTTTCGTCCATGTTTGGATGGGCATGCTGTTTGGCTGAGACATTCAGCTGGGTTCCTTATTTTTCCTTCTGCCTCCTGAATAACTCTACATCTGTAAGCGTTGCTAGCATTGACATCATTATTGGCTGTAGGACCTTTGAAACTGGCAAAATGTATGGAACAAATATACACGCTACCCACACAACACTGTAAACAATCTCTTTTCCACAGAAATAAATGATCTGCATTTTCACTCTACAGTATATCATTCATCCTTTCACACACACATTCACATTCTGGTGACGATGCGCTACAATGTAGCCACAGCTGCCCTGGGGCTTACTGACAGAGGTGAGGCTGCGATTGCAGGCGCCACCGGTCCCTCTTCCCACCACCAGCAGGCAATGTGGGTTAAGTGTCTTGCTCAGGAACACAACTGCAGCGTTCTGAATCCAACAACCCTAGACTACTGGACAACCCACTCTACCTCCTGAGTTACTGCTGCTCCAAGTACTGCAATTGCTGTGCTTTGTGTATCTTTAGCCTATTCTCTTTCTGGCTGTGTCATATTGTTGTAGTCCTTACCCGGCTTTGAATGATGAATAAAAAATGTCCCCTGACATCCGATCTGGGTATTTAGCGTCTGATTTTCACAACTCCCAAAAGGTTTATACATTTTGACACCCAAAAAGTCAATTTGCTGCAATGATATTTCATATCATCACTACAATAGAAAAATGTTCTATTTAATGATGCAAAATTGCACTATTTTTGCAACATGACTTTTCCTTTCTTTTCATTTAATCATCTTTTTTGAGCAGATGTTAATAATTTTATGTCAGTTTGCCATATTTTGTCAACTTGACAGAATCATAATTGAGCAGACCAGGCAAGAGTAAATTAATTATAAAACTTGGAGCGGTATGGTTTATAATTACTAGCTGTTTCAGAATAAAAATGGTATTTGGTGATTTACACAGGAGAAAAAAAATCCCATTAATTTTGTGTGGTGCAAGAACGCCTAAAAATGAGCAGGATTAATTTGTCTCATATGCAGCAAATAAGTCCCTAAAAAACGTCAAAACTCATGACATTCTAGACAAGGAATTTACATTTATCGTTATTTCTAACAGCACCCCTCAAGTAAATTCAGGATGATTAGTCTGATTTCTTGCATTTTCAAAATTTTTTTAAATATTAAAATATGTCATTTTCTCCAAAATTTATAAGTCCAGAACATGTAGTCACAATCGGACACACAGATGCTACTAGTCACACTACATGAGGCTGATTTGGCATCATTTACTCCTGTAGGAGAAGATTCCTCTACCAGAGCCGGCTGCAAGAGACTAGCAGAAAGGTTTTGGCGAAAATGCAAAAACTATCCTCCTTCCTCTGCCAGCACTGAGATACAAATGCAGACACAGATTGAAACTCACACTTTCTCTGTTGTGAGAAGATGAAAATATATACCTTTACCACATAGAAATACACTCCATGAAAGTCTCAAAAGAGTGATGAAATAGATGAGTGGATCCACGGTGAGCCTGGGGGACTGGATAAATATTGACCAGAATGAATGAAATTTGTCACGGTACATGAATAGGGTTTCATACACGCACACACACAGGCACACACACAACGACATTCACGCCCTAAAAAACTATATAAGCTACACCCTCATCTTCAGCTGTTCAGCCACATGTTTTAACAAAACTAGACATCAATATTTCATAGTCAACCTGAGACTGAGCTCTAGAAGAAGCATGAATAATGAAAGTGGAGTGTGTGTTTTGCTGATTTGTTTCGTTGCCTATATAACTGTGCAAGCATGCTTGCATTTACTTCTTCTTTTTTTTTTGCACGCCTGACTTCCACCTACCACGCTCACTCCAAATCCCTGAAGGCTGACATATTCCATTTTTTTTCTATTAGCCTAAGAGACAAGTTTGTGTGCCAATAAATAGAAAATGAGATAAAAGCTGACATGAATTCTAACAAAGTGTGACATTGTAAATGCAGTTATTTCCTCATCTTTCCCCTACAGGAAGTTTGACAGAAGAGATGATAAAATTGTTTGAATGGTGTAAGTGGAGAAAGAGATGAGGATGTTGTTACTGGCTTCAGAGTTTTAGTCATCTCTGAAGAACATTTGTAACATTCACAGTGCATTCAACATCAAATTGTATGACAATACATAATAGGAATATATAAAAACATGATTATTGGTATTGCAGCAGTTTTAGAGGTGGATGTTCTGAGTTTGTTATCTAGATAAATATGGTTTAAAAATTCTTGTGGCCTTTCCCTGTAGCATACGTCTTTATTAGTCTCTTATTGTGTATCTGTTTGACTTAATAGGTTCTCCTTACTCCATTTCCTTACTTGTTTCCTTCGTAATTTATGGCATGGTGGTGGGGGGTTGTGGGACAAAGTAAGAATTTCAGTGTACACAGTGTAATTGACAATAAATACTTTGACTGATTGATTACTCGGACAATCTTTTGGCTTTAGAACTAACTTCATTTCTTCTTTCATTTTTGGCGTTTCTCTTCAGAGGTCACCACAGTGAACATCTGTCTCCATTTAGTTCCATCTTCTGCAATATTAACTCTCAAACTAACTCATGGAACACACAGCCTTGCCTGCTGGTGGTGGTCGGAGGTGGCGCCTGTGTCCGGCAGGCCTCTATCAGTGCGCCCTTGGGCAGCTCTGGCTACATTGTACCCCATCCCCACCAGTGTGTGAATGTGTGGATGACTGATTGTGTTGTTAAGCGCCTTGAGGGAACCCTAAGAAAGCACTATACACATACAGGCCATTTAGCATTTTAAAAAGGTGTTAGCATCACATACATCCATGATGGGAATCCACTGGTCCAGTGGGAGCATGACCTCCAGCAAAATGACAGGCATGTCAGACTCCCTTTCAACACTGTCAACGAGTGAAGAGGTAAATGTGTAAAACAACAATGTTCATGAATGGTGAACATTTTTGTAAGCGTTTATCACTGAATGCATTTTGTCCTCATGGGCCCCCATAGTAACATTGCGTCTAATATGGTGCTGCATTGCCCAGAGTTTTAGACCCGCTCCCATGTATTTTAGACCTGATTTTTATGGTTATATGTTACAAAGTCGACAATATTTTTCAACAACTGGTCATCATTTAAATCATTTTCAACAACTTTTCGGTGGATATTTCTAGAGATTAATTGTAAAAACTACATATCTCTTCAAATACTCAAACCAGCCCATCTGGCACCAACATCCATGCCACATTCACCAAGTTTAAACTCCTAAAGGCATTGTAATGCTGTCAGATGATTGGCTATTTATATTACCATACAATTGAACAGGTGTGCCTAAGAATCAAAGGTGTCAAGTAACCAAGTACAAAAAGTTTTTATCTTACCCAAGTAAAATTTTGAGGTATCTATAACTCACTGGATTCTATTAAATGACATTTTACTTCTACGTTATCATCATCATGACCTTTTGTAATGAGGGTGTGCGATCGTTCTGTTTGTTTTTTTAATGGTTTTTGCTTACATCATTTTTTTTCTTTTACTCAAATTAAATCTTGAATTGAGACATATACAGAAGTCTTTTTAAACCCTAGTATCTATACTTCTATCTTAGTAACGGATGTGAATTCTTTTGACAAGTCTGCTTTTCATGTAGTCCTGGATATACGTAGATGATTTTTTTGCAGTTTCACAAATCCTCACCTATCAGGAACTGTCACAGTTCTTGTTGTTTATACAACCTTTGCAAAGCAAAAACCAACTCAGTATGTTAGCAAGAATTCAACATCTGGGCTGTTCCAATATATACCTATTCATTTTATAAATTAACAGGAAAATTTGAACTTTTTACCCCTACAGTCACAGAATCTGCTGGGTTAATTGTGCTGAGGAGATATTTTACTGCCATTGTTTGGATCCACTGGAGGGAAAAGCCACTGTATTAAGTACGGAGTGCTTCTGAGCAAAGCCTTTTATCATAATAGTGCTGACACACTTTGATCTAGTGAGAGCCGATCATTTTGATTGTACCAAGTGTACCTGAACTGCTTTTGTGTGATGCTCCTTTTCATTAATAAATTCATATCTGCATTACAATCATTTTCTTCATCAGTGTGACATGGCTGTTGTTACCGATCGGCTCTTTTAGGAGACCGATGGCAGCTCATGACTCATTCAGCCGGATAAAGTAAACACAACCTGACATTTTTATTCATTCTATTTTCCTCTGATCTAAGAGGGAAAATTGCATCCATATTACATGGACCACACATCTAATCACTTCTTTTTCTGGTACTGGTGTGTTTTTTTTTAATTTTTTTTCAGAATGACAAATCAAATATAAGTGAAGTCTTTTAGATCAAACAGTGTTTCAGCTTCTCTTGTGTGATCTGGCAACACAGATTTGTCTCAGCACCTACAAAAAATAAAATAAACACATACAAACATCCTAACAAATTAAAGGCTTTGCATTCCCTGAAGGAATGTGCATCACCCACTGACACTCATGCAACAGTTTCAAATTAGCTAGGAAATGATGGAGTTTATAGTTTTGGTTAAATCTGGGAAATAAAGTGCAATTTTGTGCAATATCACAAGATCTTGCGCAATCTGTTTGTGCTACAGACTCTTGTGTTGTGAATGGTTTTTAGCTACTAGCACATACTATTTTAGCTCAGCAACTGTAAACCTAAGTTTACAAAAGTCAAAGTTGTTACAGACGTGTGTTTAGCTATTACTTTCTGGGAGTTTCATTAAAATCCATTCAGGCTTCTATGAAATGTTTTGTGAAAACTACAAAAATATGCACACAGGCAAAAACATCATCACTCAACTACTACCAAAAAGCAACAATAAAAATTTCTCATCTTTCTAAAAAAGATGAAAAGCGGCATTTTTTAAATGGAGGTAAGAATTTCACTGACAAACAAGATTTCTTTATTTGCTATTTTAGTTGAAAACAAAAAATGATCAATTTAAATGGAAGAAATTACAAATATATAATTTACACTTGAATCACAGTTGTATTTTTATTATTTCAAGTTTTAACGGACAATAAGAATCTGTTTGCACACAAATGTATTTTTAAAATATAAACTGTTTCAGTATGGAGCATCTTAATTCTGCATCAACAAAGGCACTCTGATAGGTTTCTTTGACAGCACTCAATAAAAATGTGTTTCAGAGGTATAAACAGTAGATGTTTGCAAATACTGGATAGAATCATTTATTTTGCCATCTGCTGTGAAGTAGGACATTAAAGCCAAAATAGACTGCTGGTAAGAGAACAGAGAGGTAAATCAAACACAAAAAATAAGATTTCCTTCACATTGGTTACATATCTTAGCAAAATTCAAAACAGTGAGAAGAGCCTATTCAGCAGTTGGTGTCAAATTTTCTGTTCTGCCAGAAAAAATCTACTTTATTTTCCACAATGTTGTGCTAATGCCTATATTTTTCCACATCCGCATGCATAGTCTAGACAAAATTAAACATTTAGCAAAAAAGTAGATTACAATTATAGGGTAGTTTTTGTGCAGAGAAATACACCACAGAATACTTTCCATTTCTTTTAAAGGGATTCACTGATTGACCTTTAAATGTACAGAGGGCCTTCCATTTTGGTTTGTTTCACTTTGACTTTTCCTTTTCATCCTCTTTATCACAGTTGTTTCTTGTTTTGTAATGCTCTTCTGGAAGATTTCTTAGCTTCTCAGCAGCCTAGGACAAGAACACAACAATCGTGACCTTTAACAAGGTTTCAGCACCTCGGACAGTGAATCGGACCAGTTCTGGTGTTGCTTCAGGGGTTCTTTTCTCTGTTTTGATGGTACCTTTGTATGCCAATTCTTATCTTTAAACCCAGGAACTCAATAATCTGTGAGAGCTTTCATTATTAAAAAGGTCACAACAACTTTAATGTTCTTAATTGCCTTGTTATCAGATTTACCACACTGAATCTACTTGCTCCCATAATGTTAGCATCTCCAAATGAAAGCATTTACTTGACAACTAATGAAACTGTGATCCCAACAGGAAAACAGAACAAAAACATTATATAATCAGTTATATACTGCAGAAAATAAATGCATACAAACAGTTTTATTACCTGTTCTGGGGTGAGATCTCTCTGCTCCTGAGCGAGCATCTCATACCCGACCATAAACTTCTTAACTGTGGCTGAACGCAGAAGAGGAGGGTAGTAATGAGCATGAAGTTGCCAGTGCGAGTTGTCTTCTTTTAAATAAGGACCAGTTGGAGCTCCTGAAGAAATAAGCAAAAAAAATTTAGGCCATTTTAGTTCTGCAGAAAGAAAACAGGCCTCAAGTCTGTTAGAAGCTGTGTTTACACTCATTGCAGGCTGGCAAAGCTTATTAAGATAAACTTAGGCTGCCTTAAAAACCCTTTTCACTTTCTAAAACTTGCTTTATTACCATATTTCATCCTACTTATTTATATAATTTACTTTAAATGCTTCACAGGTGCAAAACCAATGAAAGATTAGATCACTGTGATGGATAAAATGCCATATCATATAGGTCAGATGGACTTTTCAACTTTTGCTAATTTGCTTCGCCAAAATTTAACATGGTTTGACACTTCTCAGTAGTAAAGCCTAGTTTATTTATCTCCGTCTGCAGGGGTGTGACATGCACATGTATTGACGGAGATGTGTCCTTTCAGATGTCTTCATTGCCTGCAGAGTGTTGCAAAGCGATTCCCCGCCAGAACAACAGAGCACGTACCCCAATTCTTTTTTTTAGTTTTTTGTTTTTTTACCGTGTCCTGTCTGGCTGTGAAGCAAGCAGAATTGATGTCTGAATGCTGGTAACAAGCCTTACAGATTTATTCTCAGGTGGAGCATCAAAGCTTCTGCTTTAAATGTCACGCCTGATACTTCAAATTTTATCGTTATTGTTTTTGAATGCTTTGTAATTCCGACCAGACACGGAGACAGAGGTGAAAGAGAAAGGAAAAGACAAATGGTGGGAAGGGGGGCGGGTTCCACAAAAATAAACAATAATGAACAAGAGTCTGCTTCTAGACCTGCAGAAAGAGAAGAGCAGAAAAAAATGGGACACACAACAATACATCAGGAGCAAGCTATCACTGCGTCAACGTGATGATGAAATATATAATCAACATTGTTTAACTGAACAATCACACGATAATAAATCACAGTGCATTCAGTGGCAACGACAGCCTTGAGACAAGTGCTGAACGTGCCCAAGCCCATATTTTTGAGAGCACCATGTGAGCACCTGTGTGTGTAGATGCGCTTGTTTATGTAAGGTTTCTCTATAGGAGCGTCCAATAGAGAGGACTCTACTCTGAGTTTCTGTATTGTTGTGTCACTTTTTTTTTTCTCTTTCTGCAGGTCTAGAAGCAGACTCTTGTTCATTATGGTTTATTTTTGTGTAAGGCTTGTCACCAGCATTCAGACATCAATTCTGTTTGCTTCACAGCCAGACAGGACACGGGGGGAAAAAAATAAATAAATAAATAAATAAATTAATTAATTAATTAATAAAAAAGACGAGATGAACAAAGGGCATGTATAAAACACAGCAGTTGATAGAAAGATCTGAAGTGGCAGTTTAATTTCTACAGTTCATCTTGAAGTAATTTTATTAGCAACATTCACACATAAAAGTAGAAAAGTAATAGTTGCCTTGAATGTTACGAATTTTCAATGTTCCATTTTTTGACTCTTACAATTTCCACAATAGAGAACCTAAGTCTCCTCCCTTTCTGGTCGGCTCATGGGTCCTCAGAAGAAAGAAAAAAACGAATGCAAGTGAATGGGGCTAAAAGAGCTATTTTCTAATCCACTTTGCCTTGCTCCCTGAATCATACATATGCTGTACTTCAATTTAAATGAAAAGTTTGATATTTATCAGCTTGTAAAAGTTTGTAAATAGCATAACTACAAATCAAGCGTCACCACAGAACGTCCTCTCCCCTAGCATAGCTGCTATTACCAAATGGCAAGATTTATGGTGGGTATATCGTTCTGAGGGGAGGATTTGTAGTTTGCTAAATTGTCATCCATTTTTCCTCAGCTTTTCTCCATGTTTGGTTCAATGATGTCAGTTTGGTAATGTTCATTTGTAGTCATGGACGTATTTTCACACAAAACCTGAAATAACTTTTGCCTTTGTTCGAAAATAGGTGCGTTCTTGGCATCAAAATGTGTCTTTAAAAGTCACGGACATCTTATGTGAGACCCATGGCACATAAACAGGATTAGAAAACAGCTTTTTAGCCCCACTGATTTGCATACATTTGTTCATTCTTCTGGGGACCCATCCATCCATCTTCTGAACCCGCTTTGTTCACGCGGGGTCGCGGGGGGTGGGGCACTCACACCTAAGGACAATTTAGTCATGTTTTTGGACGGTGGGAGGAAACCGGTGTACCCGGAGAGAACCCACGCATGCAAACTCCATGCAGAAAGATCCCAGGCCGGGAATCGAACCCAGGACCTTCTCGCTGCAAGGCAACAGCTCTAACCACTGCGTCACTGCGCAGCCCTCTCTTCCTGGGACCAATGGTCCGGAAGTAGATGGGCGTGACTTAAGCCTTTTCCACACTTTTTTGTTTTTAACAAACTTCTGCTCTCCCAAAAAATAGCTTCCATACCATCTTGTTTTTAAAAGAAACTCCATCCACACGTAACCACATAAGTGCATTAAGCACACTCATAGGCATGCCAGACCTGTAGGCGGCCGTAGTTCCCTCAAATCCTATCCATTTCATCTTCCTGCTTAACTTCAACAAAACATGAAACATGGCACCTAGTTTGTTTATGGGAACTGATAGGGTGGTAGAATTGCTCTTAAATATAGTTTTGGAGTATAAAGTCAAGAAGCGCTTGGACGATTGATAACGTGAGCACAGCTCTGAGGGTATCCATTGGTGGTTTTCCAGGAACACTACTCAAAGCAACTTGGGCTGATGCAGCTCGGCCCAACCACTGTTTCCAAGGGCACGGCTCGGTATTTTCCCTCTACTTTCTCCCGTATTTTTAGTCCCTGCTCCATTGAGGTAACTGGCTAGGCTGAGTCGGGCCGGCATTGTGATTCTGGCTGCTGATTGGCTAGGGGCAGAGTCACTGGTTGCACCAGAGTTTTTTGCTTTCTTTTTCACCGACTGCAGCCATTTCCTGATTCAGAGTCTGACAAAAAGCCATAAAGCTGAGCAAAATGTTCAGCAACACCAACATTTTTCAGCTGAGTTGTGTTTCTGTGGCACATACAAGTTACCTTACACTGTTTACTGATCCCTCTTGCTGATTTTTACAAGTGAAAAATTCAACAAACTTAAAAAAATATTACACTGATTATAAAAATAACGTTTGACACGATGTCATCTGATAAAAAGATTACTGTGAATTTGCCTTTTTATTCATTCAGCTGGGCTAAGAGTTGGATTTATTTTTTTCTTGTGTTTATGTGCAATTAGAATAAGCTTCTGTCATCTACAGAGGGCTGTGACTGAGGATACATTTTCACTAAACTGCAACAGTAACATCTGTTTTGTGCTGCCTTCACTGATCTAACAGAAGGAAATGAAGTGATCAGGAAAACAGACATGACATGGGTATACACTTCTTAAAAACACAATGGAAGTTAAAAGAAAAGATCCCTAGCGACACTAAGAAAAATGTCCTTTTTCTTTTTTGAGTCAATTTAATGACAATGGGGGGTAATCAGACACAGATAAAAATGGCAGGAGGACGACATAAAAGAAAAGTCATTGATGGGAAAAGAAAGAAGTGGAACAAAGAGAGGCCTAAAGCGGCCAGATAAAGACTGAATACAGATGAATGCTCCTATTAGAAGGCAATTACACAGCTTAAATTGTCTTTGGTTGGGTTTGTACCTCAGCAGCAAGTGTGAATTATTTCTAAGCTATCAGGATCACTCCCATTGGTACCACCAATCATGGGAGCATTACACAACATGAAAAGCACATATTCATAGGGCAGTACAGTTGATTTTGCAATGCTAGTATATACTTATTATGAATAGTTGAAGTCAAGAATGCATGGTATTGTGAAGTACACAGTTTAAGTGCAAGTCCAGTTATGCATAAATTAATTGTGTGATTTAAGTGTTACTCCTCCTAGCGGAGTAAACCGATATTCTAATCTATGATTTCCCAGGTGACTTGAACATCTAGTCATATCACTTTCAGACCAAACAATATAAATCTAAACAATAGCTATGCTTTCAAAGGAGTTAAAAATATTAAAAAGATCTTTAATTAGCTCATTATGTAAAGCAAGTGTGTGTGTGTGTGTGTGTGTGTGTGTGTGTGTGTGTGTGTGTGTGTGTGTGTGTGTGTGTGTGTGTGTGTGTTTGCATGTGTATTTTATCATCAGTCCACATGGGACAGTGGAATATATTCCTGATAAATACACTTAATCACCCTTGTGTGTGCATGTGTATTCTGGACTGGATTAAGATATGGTGGCTGTGTAGAAGGTATGTGAATTCCCAAAACTGAGGCCATTTCGATTCGTATCTCCATACGCTACCAACGATATGATACATTAAGGATACGGTGAAACTCTCTGGCAATATAATATGACATCTACAGTATCTTCTCCAATGACTCCAAAAAGGGTGGGTAGTCTGAACTGTAGTTTGGTGCATAAGAACAGGCAACAGCCAGGACCCATTCCCTCACACGTAGGCGAAGGGAGGCTACCCTCTAGTTCACTGGGGTAAACCCCAACGTACAGGCACCAAGATGGGGGGCAACTAGTATGCCCACCCCTGCTCAGCACCTCTCACTGCGGGCTATTCCAGAGTGTCCAGCCCTTCTTGAGGAAACTGCGTCAATATGAACCCGACTATATTTAGCCAAAACCTCTCAACCTCACACACCAACTCAGGCTCTTTCCCCACCAGAGTGGTGACAGTCCACGTACTGAAAGCCAGCTTCTGTAGCCAAGGATCAGACCGCCAAGGTGCCCACATTTGGCTACCACCCGTCACACAATGAACTTAACCCCTGTGGCCCCTCCCATAAGTGGTGAGCCCATGAGAAGAGGGACTTATGTTCTTCTTCAGTCTGTGCCCGGCCGGGCTCCATGGTTGGATTTTGATGTAACCACAATTTTAACTGACAAGAGACATGCTAGAAATAATGCATCCAATTTAGCCAATTTTTACAGAGAAACCAGTGGTACATTTGATCTGAATGTGAAGGTTGTATGAAGGCTTTAGTTGGACAAATAAAATGCTAGAGCTGAA